GTGAATAATTCATTGCGGAAGACCGTACAGTGAGTGACCGACCTCATGAAATGTTGACCGAAATTCTGCAATGCGTTTTCGATTAGGAAGGATTACTTAGGTAGGGTTGTAATACCGACTATCTGGCGACATAATCCTATAATATTTCGGACTCAGCAGGATGTCGGCTTTTGAATGCGCTTCTTTTCACTTTCCTGTGGAAACTGTAGTGGATAAAAGATGACTACTTATGTGCTATGCATTGTTCACATTGATTTTTGATGGTTCTATAGATTCAGATATATTTAATAGAAAAGATGCCCAAAAATATACCTTCTTCTATTTGTTTGGTAGAAAATCACATTTTCTCTACATTCTATGCCCCGAGAAAGGTTATCTCTCGGTTCTAAAAAAAGTTTCTAATTTTGAGGTTTTTAAGGCCGCGCGACGTCTATACATGCAGCATCGCACATGTCCGTTTACCAATGCGCCTCATGCAATGTATAACATAGCTCGCATCCATTGCAAAAATTTATGAACTCTATGTAGTTTTTTCTTAAAAGCGTACAGGAGTATATGATTTTTCTTACGCGGAAAGCATACACCTTTTAGACTGAAATCGCTAAACGCTAATGCAACGGCTGCTCAGGCCCGGAATTATTCGGGAATTGGGAAACTTTCAAAATCTAAATACATGCTTTCTTAGGGTATAAGACGCAAATAAAATGTGATTTTCTACCAAACGATTAAAAGAAAGCATAGTTTGTGCATTTTTTCTATGAAATATATTCGAATCTATAAGACCATCAAATATCTATGTGAAATGTGGATGCTACTTAAGTATTCACTTCTTACCGAGTGCAGTTAGCATAGGCGGTCGAAAATAAGTGCATTCAAAAGCCGACATCCTGGCGAGTCCGAAACACCGTAGGATTATGCTGCATGATAATCAATATTTCAACCCCACTTAAATCGGCAATCATTTCGCGAGGTCGGTCACGCACTGTAAATAATCCATACGATCCAAGGCGCAACCCTTGAAAGCCGCCAACCTCCTCGATGTCGCCAAAATTCGCCCTTTTCCCTTTCATTCGGCAGTTCGGCCGTCCATTTCCACCATGTCCACCGTGTGCTCTCTACAGCGGGATGAGAACAGGAACGGTGACTTGTACGTAACCTAGTTTATAGCGATAGTAGCCTCCGTGCGGCATCCATCCCACTCTCACTTCCTCCTTACCTTTGGCCGGTGTCAAGACACTGTCCAGAAGACTGGAGGTGGGATAGGGTCCGGGTGGCTGAACCGGCCGGAACCACCCCTGAGTGTGCCACCACACCCGGCTCGGATCCAACTAGGTTGGAGTGCCCCGAATGTTGGCATCTGATCTGGATGCGCATTCCTGACAACGCCTTTCGGACTCCAGTCTAGCACCAGCGTTATTGCAGCGCATTTTCCGTATGGCCCGTATGAGGGGCAGTTCCCTTCGTCTAGCGGACAACGGACAGACCGAGTACATCAATAAAATCCTATTCTCGTTCCTCAGTAGTATAGTTGACCAGTTCAATGCACACAGTCGGAATGACCAGCTGTTTCGTTGTCAGCCGCATTTGCTCTTCCACTTCATTCGTTTCCCATATGGTGCCCTTCGGTCGTGACCCCCTCCTCTACAGTCCCAGTGCACGGATTCCCACTGTTACAAGCGACGACGTCCATTGAGTGTCCCGTAGAATGGACGCATCATCGGGGAACTCTGTGCGAATAGTTTATACAGACGCTGACTTGTGCAGCATCTACCACACTCTACTCTGACTCAGTAACCCTGCACCGACGGCAGGAAAATGTAAAAATGACTGGGGTGGGCTCGAACACAGTAAGTGACGAAAGTAAACAGCCTGGCCACAGGTGCCACGCCGGACCTGTGCCTCTCAATATGTACCAGGTTTTCGTAGGAGCTGTCCAGATTTCACTTTGAAAATAATGTCGTAAGAAGGAACCACTGTGTCCATACTCCCAGTTCTAGAAAGGACATAGTCATTCCGTCAATTAACAACCCTTCAGGCCACGACTCTTAGCTGATCGTGAAAGATTCAAGCATGTTATATTTGATATAATCCGGAATGCACTGATGTGCTACAATGTCGGTCTCACTCTCCTCCGTTTCCCACACACTGGTCCACCGTCCGAGTTTTTCAACCGCAGGTGGTCGGATTGGGCGCAGTAGTTAACACCTACGTAGAAGGCGTGTTACCACACACACCTACGGCGCTGCCTGGAGGCTCGCGGGGACTGCGTTGTCCGATAAATGAATGTCATGAGCCAGTCTGACCGTGCGCTTCGGTTCAGCACATCTGCAACGCAGCCCACAGCTTAAATGACCCCCTCCAAGCTGTCCATCGCACAGTCAGAAAAGTAAAGGCCTCCCATTCCCACCAGAATGATCCACGGAGTCCAAAAGGACCCAGGCGAGCGGATGTAGTTACAGACAAGTTATACCGCCAAAGTCAGGACTCTTCATGCTCTCTCCAATTCCTTTTGCGAATCCGAACCCTTCATTGTCAGGCATCTAGTTCAGTTCAGACAAGTTCGTCATCTCTGACGGTGCCTCAGCGCAGCGTTACATTCCATCCGCGGCCCTCCCAGGTATTCCCTTTCGAAGCTAGATGACTGGCGTCCCAGCCAGCAGCATTTCGTCTCGTCCACACAATCGCCTCGAGGACTGCACCAGGAGCAGGTTTGTTACACCCAATTTAAGATTCCCACATTAAACTTGGGAGGTAGAAATTCCAAAAATATAAACAATACGGTTTCAGTTCAGTAATCCAGGTGGTACTAGAGGGAAAATTGCATAACACTACTTTTCTATGATTTTGTGCATTGCTTTATGCTGACAGGAAAACAGCAATTTCAGCTGTATGTGTGTTATGCCCCCCAAAAGGGGCCACGTGCTAGATGCGTTGGACCAACACAGGGGCCACGTCGGATCCTGGCAGGCGTTATCTGTGCGCAACAACAAATGCCAACATTCCCGGGGTGCGCTGGCGGAGCCTGTTGTCGGCATTCGGCGCACAACTGGACCACTGTCACCATCCCATTGTTCTATGGTCAAAATCCTGGTCATTGGTGTGTGGACCAGGGGGTGCGGAGTGGAGCGCCAAGGTGAGGATCCGTCCGAGCCATCCACTTGCGGCCTCCCTTGTCTCCGGTCTTCTTGACACTATCTTGATACCGGGCTCAGGCGGGGGAGGAGGAGAGAATGTAGGTAGATGCTACGCAAGTCTACTGGCACTTGAAACCCCTGCGTAAGTCACCGTCCCTGCTCCCACAATGCAGTCTGTGGGGCATACGGTGGACATCATCGAAATCGATGGTCGAACTGTCGTGTGTGTGTATTTCCTGAAACATTGCTTGCGTATTGTAATTTATAAAGCTTTCGTATTGGATACCTTGGAAATCACGAATGTACGGAATGGGGAGAAGGAAGAGTCTGAGAGGGAGATTGTATCAAATATGGTAGTCTCCTTAACCTGCAAATCCCCAACACGCACACGTTGAGAGTTCGTCCCGAAAATCGGAGGAGTAGTTAGCGCAGAGAACTTACAAACAACAGAACTTCCAACTCACGCATCTGGGAGAAGATACCATCAAGTAAACCTGCTAGAGTACAAGACCGATGACGTAAATATGGACCTGTAAATCTTTTTAGAGTTTGGGTTGTTCAGTTCTAGCGTTAATTCCTTTTCCTGATGCCCCTAAACAGCATATTACGCAGCCATTTCAGTTACAACACAGGTACCTGAATCGGCTACCGGGTAGTTTACTACTGTAAACACGACGAACGCATTTACTGGAGCTGGAAGTAGGTGGCAAATGCCAAAACAACCTGTTTGGAAAACAGAAAAAGCGTATAAATGGCAGACAATGAGGAGGTTCGCTCACCGCGTCCATCGGCCTGGAAAATCTTTTCAAACTCCTCTTCATCACCCTGAGTCTTGTCGCCGTTCTGATTGGCGCGATCTGTGGGCAGACTATAAGCAAGGGTAGTCGGATCACCGGCCTTGGAAAATCGGGTAGCACACTCCGCGCGTGTGTCATCAGTGTCAGTAGCTCTCCTTGATTTGAACCGGTTGTTTGCAGATCGAGTTCCTGATGAGTTCTTGGAATAAATGTTCGAATAATTGCGTTCCCAGTCATAGGGGTCATCCCAGCTCACGCCTTGAACTTTCATCCAGTCTATTATAACCGCTTTTAGGCAGGTATACCCAGGCGCCGTGAAGTAGTCCAAAGATTCCAGGTGGGAGGCCCAGCGATTGACTATAGGCGCAGGCATACCGGCGGAAATCGCGTAACCGCGTAGGTCAAAACGACGCTTCTGTTCCGCGACCTCTCGCTTGTCGGTTATCTTAGACCAGGGCAGAGCGGAGCTGGTAAATTCAATGAGCATGTAGAGGAGAGACCAGATGTCGTCATGGCGACCGAGCTCCCGGCCTTCGTGGGCGTTTATGGAGGCGTAGCGCACCGTGCCTCGAAAGGAGACCTCGCTGCGCGGCTCCCGTATGGTCCGACGAGGGTCACTGGAGAGGAACTTCCGTGAGAGGCCAAAATCCAAAATGCAGACCTCGTGCGGATCATCAGTCCGAATGGTAAAATTGCCAGGCTTAATGTCTCGATGCAAATAGCCGACTGAATGCACGGCCTCAATGGCGTCGAGACATTTGCAGGCTAGCCGAAGGGTCGTGGACAGGGAGATACGACGTTGAGGTGATTTCTTGAAATAGACGCTAAGACTTGGGCCCTGGAGAGAAATAGGAGTGGTGAGAGAGCCTTAAACGGTAGTAAGTCTTATGTTACCGCATGACACTGTGCATGTTAGAGGGGGTAGCATCAACAATTTTGTTAACGAGTGCACTGCTCTTAAGTTGATTCGATGTTTTGCTCTTGATTATCACTATCTGGTCATTTTATCTTGATCGAAGGGAGCAAAGTGAATTTGTCCGTAGACCAAGTTACTCACTACCAGTTCGGTTTAAATTTCGCTAAGGCTTCTTATATAAGCCGAAATTCGTCGGATCATTCGACGAAGTTTAAATATTCTGTTGACTTGTGGCATACATAGACGCCTTGACTGTGCTTGACCCACGCTATAAACAGCAAACGGTGCGATGTCGTAGCAGCCATCTGATGATTACCAAGGTAAGGTTTAACCGTGTGCTCTTGGCCACAGGCACCAATTAAAGTAGGCTGGTAAACCAACCAATAAGCAAACGGAATCGTTGGTCAGAAATGAAACCCGAACATATACTTACATCGTCTAGGAGAAATTCCCATGCTTTCTCCGCATTGCTCCTTTATTGGCCATTTCAGCAACCGGAAACAAATGGACATGTTGGCCGGATGACTCTGTAATGTAAATAACTCGCTCTCTGCTTCCATATAACTGTGTATATCGATGGTGGTGAAAATTCGATTCTCACGTGCCATGTCAAAAGATGGAAGGGCAAGGTTTGCCTGTGGTCTGACGCTTCGGGTAGCAGGTTAAACTACCCCTTTTTGGTGGGAACGTGAAACAATCGGCACCACCAAGGTTTTATCGCTGTCAGCGAGGGTTAGGATGATACGGGTCACAGTAAAAGGGGAATCTGATTCAGCTCCACAGTCGTCAGTTAACACTCTTCTAATACTAGATATATTTTGGGTTCCTCACTCGCTGCATCTCCGCTCACTTGTGTGCTTGTCTGAAAATTGGAGCTCTCCAGGAAGTGAAATTAAGCAGTTTATTCCGCTTGTTGTGTGGAAAACTGGTGACTGCATTTTCACACGGAACTCAAGTCGAGACCCTCGCGGAGGATTGTAAAGCGTCGAGCAAACCACTTATACAGAAGGAATACTTGCAAAGAGATGGAAGACTGAGAACGCCGTATCTGAGTCATTTGTCTGCATGAGTCAGTCGCGCTTCAATCCAGAGCCACGCGGATCTGTGATTTTCCTTCGAATCCGTCGTCCTTCCGCAATTTTCACCGGAGCGGCACGATTTAATTAAATTTAAAGTCCAAAATGTGTGTTACCTTGAACGGCAGTTCGAACCACCCTTGAAGGCTTATTTGGGTCAATTAAAAACGTACCCTAGTGGGTTTGCCATTTTTTTTCCGACTTGATCCGCTTGCTACAGATACATTCGGAGGAGATGCTTTGCCACCTAGACACCTGAAGCTTAAAACCTGGACCTCGGAGAGGCGGGTGA